CAGAGAGCAACTGGTGGATTCGAACTGCCAACCTTTTGATTAGCAGGCTGAGCTCTTAACCACCGCGCCACTGGGGCTCCTGAATTAAGGGCAGGAGGTGTATAAACACGTTGCATAGAGCAATCTGCTAGACTGGGTTACATTTGAACCCAGATTCAACTGTAAAACCCAGAAGTACGTCGTTCTTTCATTCAGTGGGCCTTTACTGGATACCGTACGATGGGCCGTGCACGTGGCTACAACTCGGCGTGGTGACAGGGTGCAAAGTCACGGTCTCTTCCCTAAGGAGTCTTCCATTCATTTGATTAATCAAATATACAAATAAATGAAAAATTGCAACCATGATAAATGCTACTGAGGCAAAGGACGTGCAATTGGGAAAATACAGGATAGGGTTCTGACCCAGTCAGGGTGCTAGAGAAGCTTCTGTCAGGAAGTGCTGTTGTGTAGAAAGTTGGGGAAAAAAATTCTGCTGCCACAGAACTACCTATTTCATGCCTTTTACCGACTGAAGGATTCACATAAGACACTTTTCTTCTAACTCCAGGTCCCTCTCCCCTGCCCAAGCACTCAAGTCAAATTCATTGTTTCTTCTTCCTAAAGGGTTCCTTTATTCCCCTCCCCTCCATCATCACATCAAAATCTAGTCAGTCTTAAAATGGCATAGCATTTAAAACATGGTTTTTAGTTAAGACGCTTCACAGTTTGGCCCTTGATCCGTGATTCCCAGTCGATAGCCCACAGATCCCTGATGGGGGAGAAGGAAGGCTAGGAGGTGGTCTGGTAAAAATAGTTGAAAAATATTGCCTACGAGGAGTGTTCTACCATTTTCTAATAATATGAATCACTGAGACACAGGATCGTAGTTTTCGGATTTCTCGTTTCCTTTTCGGCTGTACCACAGGGACGAACTCTTCCGACAAAGCCTGGCGAAGCTCCGAGAGCAGCTGGTGAAAGCTAATACGTTGGTGAGGGAAGCAAACTTCTTAGCTGAGGAAATGAGCAAACTCACTGATTATCAAGTGACTCTTCAGATCCCTGCTGCGAACCTCAGTGCTAACAGGAAGGTAAGAGATGCTGGTAAAGAAAACAAGAGCGAGATAGACGACAGGAAGTACTGTACA